GGTGAGGCGCTAAGCCCAGAGCTCTCCTGACATTTAGGTGGACAGTAGAGACCTCCTTCCCATAATTGTACCGGCTCTAACACTAGGTAAGGGGGATGTTACATTGATTGACTGAGAGAGTGAGGGTCTCTCACCACTGAGAAGAGACCAGAGAGTCACCAAGCTCAGAAGGGATACAGGGTAGTTTAAGATGCCTGGTCCCTGGGGTTATTATTCTTCTGAAAACATGACTGAAGTCAAAAGCTATCTCCAAAGAAGGCAAATCTTTTGTCTCTTCAGAATGAAAAGTAGCCAGGAAGTCAGTTTAGGTGGTAAAAAAGAAGTTTAGGTGGTAAAAACAAACAAACAAACAAAAATCCCTTCTGAGTTTAAAGAATTCAGACTCATGTTGAGGTTCAAGAATGATGAGTACTAGAAATATGGGGAGACAAACAATGGAACAACTGGTACCAAACATTCAAAAGCACTTGCTTCCTGTAGACCTGTTCTGTGCCTGTCTCTCACACTCCATCAATCCTATCACATTTTCCCTGTCCTTTGCTCTCTAATATTCTTATGCAGCTCTAATGCTGAGGTCACTGCAAGAGAAAATGAATATAACAGAGACCTGACTGCAACCACCCTAAGCTGATTAGATTTAGTATTCATAATATGAGACCACCTTCCCTGGGCTCTTGATTATGATGCAATATGAAGTGTCTAGGACTAAACAGGAAAATATCCTTACAAAACAGTTAATCTGGATTGGATTGATCTTATAAACATAGTGTTCAGTTTATAAGCAATACCAGGAATAGAAGAGTATGTTCAATGACACCATAATGAGACAATGAAAGAAATATGGAATGTGTGACATCCTGTAAGATAACTGACATGGTCTCTTCAGAAGGTCAAGGTCAGCAAAAAGTAGGGAGATTGTTCTTCTTTCTTGTTCATTTGAACTTTTCTTACTAGAAAGTTGGAAAAATGTTTCTTGTCTATCATTAAAGTCTCTCCCTGTCATGCATCCTCACCTCCTTGAACTTCTACTTACTTTGTCCTAGTTCCCTGGTAAAATCTCAACCCTGTTAAAGCCAACTCAGCTTACTCTGCTTGCACCTGGCAGCTGAATGGGGCTAGGGAAAAACCATACATGCACAAAGACACACACACACACACACACAGAGGGAGGTCTCAGTTAAATTCAAATGGCCCAAGGTGCAGTTGCCCATTCTAGTACATTTCCTGAGTCCAATCACGCTCTTGTCTCCTGTATGACTCTTATATCCTGCCTCCTGTCTTCTCCACTGTTCTACTTCCTCACCTTTAATCTCAACTACAGACTTGATTGGGTCAGGAAGAGCCCCTGGAGAAAGGAATGGCTGCATATTCCTGTATTCTTGCCCGGAGAACCCCGTGGACAGAGGAGCCTGGCAGGCTACAGTCTATGGGGTCACAAAGATTTGGACACAGCTAACACACACACAGAGACTTGATCCTATTTTGCTGAGAAAACAGGACCAATTAAAACCTCTGCAAGTCCAACCATAACGATCAGTGCCCATATGTTCAATCTTCCCTTCTGTTGCTGGGGATGATCTTCCATGTCTCTGTTCAAGGCCAATTCCACATGTCACTCCTTTGTCATCTCACCTGGCACACTCCTCCTTTCTTCTGCGTCTATGGTTTTCCTCTGTGACTCATCATTCCCTCCAAAGCACACATGTCTTAGTATCTCGTCTCTTAGCAAACAAAAAGACTTGGACGAAATACCCCTTTCAGCCTTATTCTATTCCTCTGCCTCCTTTAGGACAAACTCCTTGAAGAGTTTGTACCTGCCACCTCCAATTCTTCTCTCCCCATTCTCCACAGTGGTCACATTTTGCCCCCAGAACTCCACTGAAACTCCCCTTGTCAAGGTCACCCTTAACCTCCCTGGTGCTAAATGCAATGCTCACATCTGTCTAGTCATGTGGCACTATCTGGATACTTGCCGGTTCCATCCTCCCTGACATGCGTTCCTCACCTGGCTTTCAGACCACCACTCTCTTCTGGTTTTCCCTTTTCTGTTTGGCTCTCCTCCTCAGCTCCTTTGCTAGTTTCTGACTACAGTGGAAGCTCTGGATGGTCAGAACTTCCTTCTTAATATTCCATTTTGATATTCGTGCAAACACCAATATATACTTATGGCATGAAGTGTCTGTGACCCCTCATTACTTACAGCACCCCTGCCTGGGGAATGGTGCGCAGTTTACCTACAGATGATCAGATGCCCTCGCCCCGCCGCGCCCAGCTGCTCAGGCAGAAGCCCAGCAGCACTGGTGCCTGACATCTCCCCCACCCACAACTCTGCAGCCCCCACTTCTTCAGAAGTAAGCTGATCTGAAAAGTTGGGCCATAATCTTAGCACAGTTGTAATGAAGACAGATGTCAAACTTTTAGAAGAGAAAAGACCTGGCATATTATTCAAAGAAAAAGCTTTCTGGGGTCCAGTGGGGTCTCTTCAAGAGGTACAGGAAGTTCTGGGAGGATCTGAAGAGCAGCGAGGGAAGGAGATGGGGACAAACACGTCCTATTCCTGCAGGGAACTCAGCCCTTAACAACAAAATTGAGCGGCTCAGAGGCAATTATAGAGAACACAGAGACTCCAACCAGAGAAAAGCCTGTGAGGACAGGAGAGGGGGAGAGCTGGGAGAGCAGGGATGGAGCCGGGGGCAGGGCAGATGGTGTTCTCTGTGTCCTCAGTGCAAAGTAAGCAGCTGACAGTGTTGGGGTCTGTAAGGTGACTTTCCTGAAAGGTGCAGACTGGTCAGATGCCACGTGCTGTGACCAGGATCCTATTTCAGGAATCGCCTGTGAGGTCCCTGGGCATTTATCTGGGGATCTGTGTATCTAGTGTCTGCAAGCAGTTTCTGTCCTGGTCACCTGATCCTTTCTCAGGTGCTTCCTCTTCCCTCCAGGTCTCGTCTTGTACCTCCACCACCTGACCTAGACTTTAGGGGGAGAAAATTAGACAAATCCACTGCAACCTGCTTCAGTATTTCCCCATACTGAAGGGAAAAGCCCTCTGTCCTGGAAGCTTCTTACCTTCTCTTCTCCCTCCAGCTCTGCAGCATGTTGGAGTTCCCATCAATGCCTGGGTCCCCCCATCAAGAGACCATAAAAGTTGGGATGTGACCTGGGCATTGGGTGGTTGAACAGCTCCCTGGGCGACTTTGATGTGAAGCCAGGGCAAGAAGCGGTGCTCTAGATCCCGAGCTGCAGGTGTCATCCTTTTGGCTAACTATCCTGTGGGTCCCTTCACCTGTATCTGAGGGACAGGCAGATGCTGACTTGAGGAGGGCTGGAAGGCAGCTTGCTGTCCTGGGAGATCAAAGAGCAGGAGGCAGTGGCCCAGTCCCCCAAGCTCAATCGTCATCTGTTCCAGGACAATTTCGAGACTCAAAATTGGCTGCAAAAATGAGTGAAGTACTGATTCTGAACATGAGAACATGTCAAATTCTCTTAAATTTGGCTGAGCAGAGCTCGATAGACCAAGAGGAGTAAAGCCTAAGAGCACCTATGGTCTCACCATTAGAGCAGCGAGTCTCAAACTGCCGTGTTTGAGACTCAGAATGACCTGGAGGGCTCATGGACAAAGACCCCTGGGCCCCGACCCCAGACTTTCTTCTTTAGTGTGTCAGGGAGGGACCAAGGATGGAAAGCCAGATGTGGCTGCTGCTGGTCAGGGGACCACAGTCTGAGAGCCACTGTAGTGGGGTGTTTGACTTTAACCCAGTGAAATGACATTTCCACCTAAAATGACGTTTCCACTGAAGCTGTATAAACATGTTTAGTTATGTAAACATGGTCAGTCTTAGTTACTGTAAAGACTTTTACAACACCTAACTGAATGAAATGGGAAAACTCCCAGGCAACAATTGAGGAATTAGTCTGGTTCAAAATAACATTCTTGGATAGGTAGAAATATTTGGAAGGATAACACCTTTTTCTCCCCTCCTCCCTTCTTCCAAGTATTTGGTTCAAAATATCCAGGCTTTGTGTTTACCATGGTATTTTCAGAAATGATGTATAACATCATGGCTTGAGGAAAGCCAATGTAGTTTCCTGAAATGCTTCACTTATTTCTGGGCAATAGTCTATGTATCTGAAGAAACAATTCTAATAAATAAGTAAAACACCCTGGTCAGCCTTAGTTTCTGAGTAAATCTTTGTCAGGGATTATAAATATAAAATCTCATTAATGAGACATTCTGGTAATTAGCTTTGCTAAAATTCTGGCAAAGTAGCTGAACATCTATGATATGTGCTTTATTTTGAACTCTTCATTTTCTATGATCAGTGAGGAAGAAAACTAATATTTCACAAAGCTAGTTCTTTAGTTGATCCATATTTTGTTAACACTGGAGTGAACTCCAAAGTTCTACCAAAGTTATCTGGAAAATGTAACAGTGTACGAGGAGCAGGAGAATAGCATTGCTTTTACTGGGACACTGACAGTCACCTTAGGATAGCAGCATTCTGTAAAGAGAAGAATGCCTTCTTCGTCTGCTGTCTACCCTCCTGTTGGCATTAGAAACACATCAGCAAATTGATGCAATCAGAATTCCGCTCCCCTCAGGTATTTGTTTTCTATTTCTATTGTTTGTTTAGTTGTTTTCATGCTTGCGTCTACAGTTAAGACCAAAATCTTAGGGAAGTCTAAAAGATAACACCTCTCCTTCAAGTGTTTTGTCAAAACCAAATCATCTATATTCTAAGTTTCCACATTCCCTGCTCAGAGATATTTTGAATAATTTCCAGTCTTTCCAGAATTCATTATATATACCTCAGGTTTCAAGCAAAACCCAATTATTCTGTTTGTCTCAAGTGTTATATTTTTACCTGGGAATCACTCATCTTTATTTAAGTAGTAAAACCATTGGAAACAAAGATGGCAAAATATCAAAATAAGTTTGCTTTTTAATAGGAAATATCCCAACCTTGATTTTTCAGGTATTTCTCCAGTTATTGAGACTTACTTGCTAATAATAAGGGTTTCCTCTCCACATACCCAGACTCTCATGAATTCTCCATACATCTTGTTGTAGTAATTGCATGCACTGCCGATCCCCATCCAGAGGAACCTGCAGTGGGAAATGAGGGGCCCAATTCCCAGGAAGTAGCTGGGACCTAGGAAAGTCATCAGATCACAATCAGTATTTCAGCACCACTCAAAAGAGCAATTGCTTAAGATACTGCTGTTCTTGTTCCTATAAATCCAAATGTCCTTTTACATCTTCTCATGTATATGGGTGAGTCACACATACAAAATAATTAAAACAACAGCACAAGTTAACATGAGGCTCTTCACAGCTCTACAAGTAAAAAGTAGTCCACACCACATCAATTCCTTTCGGGCTCAATCATTTCAGTCTGAATGGACTGGTTTAAGAAGAGAATCTTAAGCTAAACCTCATTAGATGAAATAAACCTGTGCACATGAATGTTCATAGCAGCCTTGTTCACAATCGCCCCAAAAGGAAGACGACCCAAATGTCCACTAACAGTAGAATAGGTGACTAAACAGTGAGATGTTCATGTAACTGCATACTATGTGAACTGCAGCTGCATGCCACACCTGAATGAAACCTACAGGCAAAAGTGTAAGGAAGAAACCAAGACAGAAGAATAAGTAATATAGGATTCCTGTTGCTAAAACATGCAAGAGCAAGTGATACTGAAGTATGTTGTTTAGAATATGAAATTAGGTGAAAAATCTATCAGAAAGCAGGGGAGTGATCATTATAGAATAGAAGGCTATTTATTTACTTCTGGGGTGACAGAGGGTATAACTGGAAAGGCACAAGAGGAGTTTCTGGGATCCTGCTAACATCCTCCTTCTTATTCTGATCTGTAATCACATGTTTATTTGTACATTTTATGTCGAACAGATTTTTAACAGGCAAAAGGAGACTGTATCACCATGCCTTCTTCCCCACTGCACCTGTAAAGAATGTGGTGCACAGGGCAGAGAGAGGGTCTGGGGGAGAGGGCCCACGTACAAGGTTAGACATCACCCTGTAACCTTGGGGAAGGGAGAGCTGCCAGGCGCCAGGTAACCGTAGTCTTGGCAGAGATCAGTGCTGGCGCAGTTTCCCCAAACTGAACCTTGCAAATCACCAGTAGGAATGATTCTTTCCTCTCCAGCCCTCACGGCCCTCCCTGGCACTATGTCCTCTGCCTGTGTGTGTCACCTCTGCACACTCCGAGACCCCCTGTCCCCATGACCTGATAACGCAGGGCCTCTGAGTAAATGTGGGTTTAAGAAGCTAAGATTTGAGTCCCAGCTTCATCATCTACTAGTTGGGGACGTCTGGCCTCTTTATGTCTCAGTTTTTTCATCTGCAAAGTAGGGATCAACACACTTACCTCACCAGAGTGCCCAGAGCTTCACAAGAGAAAGTGGGCATGAAACTGCTTTGAAAATTGTGAAGTTGAGGAATTTGGCTCACTGTACCTTCTCTACTCTTTGGCTCCACTGACCCTGAGATTCCCCATATGCATAAAACTCAGAGCCCAGAGAGCTGGTGATTGGAAGGATCTGGCCTAGAGGGTTCTAGAGCTAGAGAGTTCTAACCAGACCTCACCTTTCCCCAGGGAAAGCATGGAACTATTCAATAGAACCTCCCTAGTGGCAAGATGAACATCCATCTGGGATTTAGGACTTCCTGGTGGTTCCCCTGCTCCCCCTATTCCCACTTTCCTTCCAGCTGAGATGCTGGCAAGCCTTTTCTTTTCTGGAGCTTTAACCCCTCACCTATGAACAGAGGAGATGGGCTCCGCGGTTACTCACACCGCCTGGACCAGGCAGAGGCCCTCTCTGGTGCTCAATTTCCCTTTCTATCAAGTGAAGGGGTTGGGCTCCACTCTGTGCTCTCAACCCTGACTGCTCAGGAAAACCACCTGAGAAAATGAAAAGTCCACAGGAGGATCCACTTCAGGCAGGGCTGAGAGTGACAGCACTGTGTGATAGTGTCATAGACTGTGAGTGTGGGACAGCCTCATGTCCCCAGCCCAGAGCTTCAGGGATGCTCAATCTGTGCCGGCCTCCCCCCACCTCCCCAAAGGTCCAAGGGAGTTCTACCATCACCTGCAATGCAAACCTCTGGGGTGACTTGTTGAAAACAGCCCCTCCCTCACCTCTACCAGTCATGGACCCTGACTTAGGTGCCCACTGGGGGAAGAGAATCCAGTGAGAAAGGGGCAGTGATGGAGAAGGGGTTCAATGAGTTAAAGACCATGGAACAGTCTTCCTTCAGACCCCTATCAGGGAGTAGAGGAGAAAACCAACTAAGCATTCCATTACATTGGGCATTTAAAGTAACCTAAAATACCAGGCTGAATCAAACAGAGAGACAGGCCGTTCTCTCGAAAATGATAAAGAAACCAGACCCAGGGCATTTTGCAAGCCCTACACTCCCACTCTCCATCACTGTGCAAAGAGGCCTACACTTGAAAGTGTGTAATGAGTATGCTCTTGAAATAAAGCCTTACCAAGTGTCTTGTGGGACTGGGGACAGATGCTTGCTATGAGGAATTTTCCCTGAAAATTAAAAAGCAGTCTGATATTTCTGAGAATTCTGAGTTAGTATGACAGTGTGGAGTGATGGTGTTCCTACTAAAGTTATCTGGATAATTATATTATACTCTATTTTTGATTGGTCCACAGAGCATGTTGAAGATGTTTTTAGGTTTTCAAGGCAATGATAGTGGTCCCCCACTTTTCTTCCACTATCCAGGACCCATCCAGCTCTTATGGTGGCATCAACATCACCACCTTATCCAAGAATAAAAAGAAAATAAAGAATGGGATATAGAGAAGGAATAAGTTTGGAAAGGGAGAGGACAGAGGACATGGCTGAGGCAAAGTTGGAGGGAGCCAGAAAGACGGACAGAAGGCATTCCAGAGACATTTTCACCTTCAAAGCAAAGTTGGAATGAATTTGATCAAAAGAAAAATAAGTTCCTGGAATTTTACTTTGCTGTCCCCATCTTAAACTTATTTTAAAGGATACTTGTGCCAAGTCTATTTTACCAAAGCAAAGTGCAGCCTGGAAGAGATTATCTGAGGTATTGTTTTAATGTTTTCATTAAACATGTGCAGATAATTGCCTAACATTTTTTCACCTGAGTCCTCATTTGCTTATATGTTGTGGACTTCAGCCAGCTCCCCAGGTTTACTCTTTGTCGTTTTGTAGAATTTCCTTTACCCTCGTGGATCAAAAGCCCAAGGAAACAATCTCCTTAGATACAGAAATAAATGACTGCCTTACCTGGTATTGAGGATGTGTCCTCATAATTCCAAACCAAGAGAAGAAATCCAGTGAGCAGCAGGATTGCAATGCTGGCAACAGGCACAACTTCAGACACCATGCTAGTGACATTGTAATGCCTTGGGTTCAGCACTTCCAAGAACATTTTGTGTTACTTGATCTTGGGAAGCAATTTAAAGTCCTGTGGAGATCAGAAGAGTGGAAAAATTAAGAGAATCCCCAAAATGTACATTTAGGACTCCTGTTGCTTCAGAGGATGCTGTACCGTAGAGATCGGCGCTTTGTTTTATAATATGATTGGACACTTAGACAAGACAAATTTATATCCATCCAGCTCTTATGGTGGCATCAACATCACCACCTTATCCAAGAATAAAAAAAAAATAAAGAATGGGATATAGAGAAGGAATAAGTTTGGAAAGGGAGAGGACAGAGGACATGGCTGAGGCAAAGTTGGAGGGAGCCAGAAAGACGGACAGAAGGCATTCCAGAGACATTTTCACCTTCAAAGCAAAGTTGGAATGAATTTGATCAAAAGAAAAATAAGTTCCTGGAATTTTACTTTGCTGTCCCCATCTTAAACTTATTTTAAAGGATACTTGTGCCAAGTCTATTTTACCAAAGCAAAGTGCAGCCTGGAAGAGATTATCTGAGGTATTGTTTTAATGTTTTCATTAAACATGTGCAGATAATTGCCTAACATTTTTTCACCTGAGTCCTCATTTGCTTATATGTTGTGGACTTCAGCCAGCCCCCCAGGTTTACTCTTTGTCGTTTTGTAGAATTTCCTTTACCCTCGTGGATCAAAAGCCCAAGGAAACAATCTCCTTAGATACAGAAATAAATGACTGCCTTACCTGGTATTGAGGATGTGTCCTCATAATTCCAAACCAAGAGAAGAAATCCAGTGAGCAGCAGGATTGCAATGCTGGCAACAGGCACAACTTCAGACACCATGCTAGTGACATTGTAATGCCTTGGGTTCAGCACTTCCAAGAACATTTTGTGTTACTTGATCTTGGGAAGCAATTTAAAGTCCTGTGGAGATCAGAAGAGTGGAAAAATTAAGAGAATCCCCAAAATGTACATTTAGGACTCCTGTTGCTTCAGAGGATGCTGTACCGTAGAGATCGGCGCTTTGTTTTATAATATGATTGGACACTTAGACAAGACAAATTTATAGTTACAAGTCAAAACAAGCAAGCCCAAGAGAGAGCTTTTGGCTTGAAGTGCAGCGTTTCTGACCTTGGTAGAGTCTCAGGTTCGTTTAGACGCTTGGTCTGATAGAACCTTATCACCTTGCCCTTGAGTGGGTAGAGTGACTGAGTTCTCAATTAAGAGCCAAATTTCTTACCAAAATATATGAAAATGAAGCTCATTCCAGAGGTGGAGTCATTCTGTGACTTCATCAGCAGTTTCTGTTTAGGCAATATTTTCCCCCCTGAAGCCAAATACATTTTTAAAAATGCAATCCCCAACTACCTTGCTTGCTTGGTGTTACTTACCCCAAAGTAATACCCAGTCAGAAGGTCTTTCTCAGGCATCACTGAGGCATTCTCAGAGCCTCCCATAAATTGTCTATTGAATTCAACGTGACTCACTCAGGACAGTCTTTTCCTATTGGCTTAATGAAGCTTAAAAACCTCTTGCACCATGTGCTGGTTGAAGCAGTGCACATTGGACTATAACAGAGGTAGTAGGAAAGAAGAAAAGGAGAGAAAGAATAAAAAGAGAGGAGGAGAAAGAGAAGTGGGGAAGCAGGAAGAAAAGAGATGACTTGGTTGATACCACCAGCAGTAGCCTCAGGTGCCACCCAGCCACCAAGCTCTCCACAGCAGCTAATCTCCTGTACGGGATAATTTTCAGTTTGATTCTCTGGTTCTGATGTGGTTTTCTCTTTCCTTTTTTCTCTTGGAGAGCATTTTTTTTCTGGTTTACTGAGTTGTAATTGACATACAGTAGTATATATATAAGGTGTACAATATAATGATTCGACTTACATGCATCCTGGAATGATTATCAAATAAGTTTAGTGCTGATCTATCATCTTATACAGATACAGCATTGAAGAAATAGAAAAATAATAGTCTTCCTTGTGATGAGAACACTTTGGATTTAGTCTCTTAATAATTCATATATAAGATGCAGCAGTGTAGGTTATCTCTATCATATTGTACTTTATCTTTCCTAGTACTTATTTATCTTATTACTGGAAAGTGAAAGTCCCTCAGTCGTGTTCGACTCTGCAACCCATGGAACTCTGCAACTCTACAGTCCATGGAATTCTCCAGGTCAGAATGCTGGAGTGGGTAGCCTTTCCCTTCTCCAGGGGATCTCCCCAACCCAGGGATTGAACCCAGGAGGATTGTTTACCAGCTGAGCCACAAGGCAAGCACTTATTTATTACTGTAAGTTTGTACCTTTTGACCACCTTCATTTAATCCCCCGCCCCCTTCCACCCCCTGCCTCTGGCAACCACATATTTGATTTCCTTTTCTATGAGTTTGTTTTTGAGGTTTAATCGAAGTACACCAGCATTTTAGTTCCTGGTACACACAGCATAGTGATTTGGTATTTCTATACATTTCAAAATAATCACCATGATGTCTAGTTGTTATCTGTCACCACAGAAAGATATTATGTAATTATTACTGTGTTCCAACACTGTAAAGTTCATACCCATGACTAGTTTATTTTGTGACTAAAAGTTTGTACCTCTTAATTGCCTTCAACTATTTCCGTCCCCGAAACCCCTCCCCTCTGGCAACCACCTATTTGTTCTCTGTATTTATGACTTTGTTTAGTTATGGTTGTTCATTTGTTTTGGTTTTTAGGTTCCACATATAAGTGAAATCATATAGCATTTGCTTTCTCTGTCAGACTTAATTCATTTAGAATAATACCCTTTAGGTCCATCTATGTTGATACAAATCGTAATATTGCACTCCTCTTTATGTCTGAGTAATATTTCATTTTATACACACACCCCACATCATCTTTATCCATTCACCTGTTTACGAGCTCTTAGATTGCTGCCGTATCTTGGTTATTGTGAATAATTCAGCAAAAAACATAAGGGTTCATGTATCTTTTTGAATTAGTGCTTTCATTTTTTTCCATAAATACCCAGAAGTAGAATTGCCGATCATAGGTAGTTTTATTTTTAATTTCTTGAGGAAGCTTCGGATTTTCTTCTAGAGTGGCTACAGCAATTAACTCTCCCACCAATAGTGCACAAGTGTTCCCTTTCTCCCACATCCCCACCAAAACTTATTTGTTCTCTCTTTGATAATAGCCATTCTGACTGGTGTAAAGTGATGTCTCATTGTGATTTTGATTTGCATTTCCCTGGATAATTAGCGATGTTGAACATGCTTTTATGTGACTGTTGGCCATCTGTGTATCTTTGGAAAAATATTCAAGTCTTCTGCCCATTTTTAAATTGGGTTGTTTGTTTTTTTGATATTGAACTGTGTGAGTTCATTATATATTTTGGACATTAACACTTTGTTGGACATATCATCCTCTCCTGTTTAGTAGATGATCATTTTGTTTTGTTGATAGTTTCCTTAGCTGTACAAAAGATTTTTTTTTCCCACTGTACTCCCATTTATTTATGTTTATTTTTGTTTTCCATGCCTGAGGAGACATATCCCCAAAAATATTGCTAAAACTGGTGTCAAAATCTATATTTTCTTCTAAACATTTCAGGTCTTACATTGAAGTTTTTAATCTATTTTTAATCTTCTTTCATATATGGTGTAAGTGGTGTAGTTTGATTCTTTTGTGTGTAGCTGTCTAGTTTTCTCAGTACCATTTATTGAAGAGGTTATCTTTTCCTCATTGTTGTAGATTAATTGCCCATATCAGTGTGAGTCATTTCTGCACTTTCCACTCTGTTCCCTTGATCCGTGTGTCTGATTTTCTGCCAGAAGTATACTATTTGATTTATAGCTTTGTTTCAAATCATGGATACCTCCTGTTCTTCTTCCTTAAGATACTCTTGTCTAATGGGTGTCTTTTTTGTTTCCAAACAAATTTGAGAATACTTGTTCTAGTTCTTTGAAGAATGCTATGTTTTGATAGGTAATTTATTGAATCTGTAGGTTGCCTTGTGTAGTATGATCATTTAACAATATTCTTCCAATCCATGAGCACAGTATATCGTTCCTTCTGTTTGTGTCATCTTCAATTTCTTTCATCAGTGTCTTTATAGTTTTCCAAGTATAGGTCTTTTACCTCCTTGGTTAGATTTTTCCAAGGTATTTTATTCTTTGTTATGTTATTATGAATGGGATTATTTTAAAAATTTTTTCTAGTAGCGCCTTTTATTGTATAGAAATGCAACAGATTTCTGCATGTTAATTTTGTCTCCTGCACCTTCACTGAATTCACTGATGAGTTCTAGTAAAATTTTTTGGTGGTGTCTTTAGGATTTTCTATGTGTATTAGCAAGTCATTAGCAAACAGTGACAGTCTTACTTCTTCCATTCCAGTGTAGATTCCTTTTATATCTTTTCCTTCTCTGTTGGCTGTGGCTAGGACTTCCAAAACTATGTTGAGTTAAAGTGGTAAGAGTTGGCATCCTTCTCCTGAACTTAAAGAATATTTCAGCTTTTCACACTGAGAATGATGTTAACTGTGGGCTTGTCATTTATGGCTTCAGTGTGCTATGTTCCCTCTATTATCACTTTGTTGAGAGTTGTTTTTTTTTTAAATCATAGATATTGTATTTTGTCAAAAGATTTTCTGCATCTATTGTGATGATCTTATGATTTTTTTTATTCTTCAGTTTGGGAATGTGGTGAATCACATGGATTTATTTGCAGATATGAAACCATCTTTGCATCCCTGGTATAAATCCCACTTATTTATGATGTATGATCCTTTTAATGTATTGTCAAGTTTGGCTTTCCATATTTTGTTGAAGATTTTTGCATCTATGTTCATCAGTGATATTGGCCTGTAATATTCTTTTTGTGTGTTATCTTTATCTTGTTTTGGTATCAGGGTGATGCTGGCCTTGTAGAATTAGGTTGGAAATATTTCTTCCTCTTAAAAGTTTTGGAATAGTTTGTAAAGAGTGTTAGGTATCTTCTGTTTGGTAGAATTCACCTATGAAGCCATCTGGTCCTGGACTCTTTTTGGGAGGATTTTGTTTTTGTATTACTGATTCAATTTCATAGCTAGTAATTCGTCTGTTTATATTTCTATTTCTGATTGATTCAGTCTTGAGAGGTTGTACACTTCTAAGAATTCGTCATTTTCTTCCAGATCGTCT